AACCACCCCGGCCCGCCTCGATCGATCGGATAAATTGCGCAGCGTGTTTACCACACGCGCTAGCATGGTGACGAGGGCAAGGTGAAGGCCGTGGTTTCTTGGTTACCGCCATGTTTGAAAATGTCAAGAATAACTGAATCTACTTTTTAAAAAAAAATACCGTTAATAGCTGATGGCGTGGTTATGCAGCGTCAGCGGTATCGTGATTGGGTGTGTAGGCAGTCGTAGATGTGGCTAACAGGAAAGGTAGATGTGGCTAACTGGCCAGGTAGATGTGGCTAACTGGACAGGTAGATGTGGCTAACTGGACAGGTAGATGTGGCTAACAGGACAGGTAGATGTGGCTAACAGGACAGGTAGATGTGGCTAACAGGACAGGTAGATGTGGCTAACTGGACAGGTAGATCATGGTAGATGTGGCTAACAGGTCAGGTAGATGTGGCTAACTGGACAGGTAGATGTGACTAACAGGACGTGTGATCACCTCCAGTACTAACGGCTTAATGACAAAAACCAGGTTAACAAGCCACATGACCACAAAAGAAGTTGGCGTTAGAATTAATTAGAAAAGATAAAACATGCATTACATGTAGGCATACAAACATTGGACGGTACATAACAGATGAGAGACGCTTGCCATTCACGTTTTACATGTAACGGGAGCTTCACGTATTCACACTATCACACCCATCACCTCTCTGACCTAGCCCGCCTCCCCCCCCCCCCCCCCCCGACAGACAAACGTAACTCTGCACCAAGCTGGTCACCAGGTTATCCATCCCGTCCCTCGTCTGATCCCATAAGCCGATATCTGCCGGACTAAGTTGGGGGAGGGGACAGGAAACAGACACCAAGTCGGGGTTACCGGACCTGACCTAACGGCTGACCCGGTTCAAAGTTGTGATGATGTCCACGTCATAGTGTAATGAGAAGCACGCGTGCATTTAATGAGTGACCCACCCCTTCAATAAACAGTCGTGGTCATTAGCACGTGACCAGCCAAAGCGTAGCACGTGACCAACCAAAGCCACAAAATGCAAGTCTGATATGTCGTTGGGTATGTAGTTGTTTTTTTTTAAAGGTAACACATGCTAATTTAATCAACAGTTTCAACGTTTCAACAGTCTCTCTATTGTATCAACTTTCGATCTAACAATGACAAATCATTGGAGGAAAATAAAACGGAAATAATTCAGGAAATCATAAAAGAAACAACTCAAAAACACAAAACAAAAATTTCAAGTTCAAATTTTAAATAAAGCAACCAAAAAACAATAACGGCTTATTTAAATGTTTAACACGTTATAAACATAGTTTTTCAAGGAAAGAAAATGTAGACACGGAGGGAATTCCCGCAGAAGAATAGGTAGTGCTTTTCCAGGAAAGGTAAGCCTGGTAACGTGTGTTGGGGTGAGGTATTATTAGACATTACAAAACAATAACACGTGATTTAGAAAATCAAAGAAAATACTTTTAAGACAAATCCTTGATTCACTCTTCAAGAAGAGAAATGCAGACTGTTCTGGAATGAATATGCAAGATCTAAGTTCGACTAGATATAACAAAAGGCGGTTGATTTAAAAGCAAACGAGCAAAAAACTGACTTCGGAAATCGATTGGGTCGGAATCTAGCGTGATTTATTTTGGGCGCGCATTTTGTTATTCTCGAAATCGAGGCCGTGAGTTCTAGAATGTTCCGAATGTCAAGGATGAAACTGAGTTAAGGTCAGCAAGTCCCGGCCCCTCTCCACCCCCCACCCCCACGAAAACGTTTGTGTGGCGCGCGTGAAGGGAGTTTGCCCGGGACCAACAGGGAGCCAATCAATGAGCCCGAGCCCGTAATGGCATCACAGAATGTTCTAGAAACTTTGGGATCGATACTACGGGACGCGTAGCGTATTCGGTGAATCAGACTTGCTGACCGAATGCAATCATTGATACAGATCATATCGATTCCTCAGCAAAAGTGATCGTCCCAAGTTACATAATACGCCTTTAAGTTGACGCAATAAGCAAAAGGTATAGAAATTTTCGAAACTAACCTTCCCCACTTAAGTAGTATCAAGTTCGAGATCAAAGTCACACTGGATAACGGCGCGTTCTTTGAAGTTTCTTCAATACACTTGGCTAGTTTTGTTTTACATTTTAAATCGATTTTTGAGTTTTAACACCGAAATGATTAGCATTTAATCATCTGATCGATAATCTGATTGAGGTTGAGCCATAGTTGGCTTAACAGATCATAGGGCGGATAGAGAGAGTGATACGTGGTGTGGTTGGTACGCCCTTCGGTGTGGGGTTATATCATAGGGAAACAAGATTAACGGCAAGTGTTCTGGGTTAGATCTTAGGGAAACAAGATTAACGGCAAGTGTGTAGTGCAGAAGATCACCATAAACCCCAGGCTTCAGAGAAACTTATTGAAATAAGAACTTGTCGAAACGGCAGGTCTATGGCTTGAATACAGGCGTTATGTAACTTTACAGACGGGAAAGAAAACAACAACTCTACAGACAGACGCCAGCAACTGTTGTCTGGAATTGCAGACAATCAGAGATTTCGTCATGTGGACCAGAGTTCGAAGATGACGCTGAGAAAATCAATAGCAATTGTTAGATGGATAGGTCCAGAAATTGATCTGCTGAATGCACGCATCGAGTGTCACGTCTGCCAGTGTGTGATCAACCCCACACCTGACCAGAGGTGTGACATCAACCCCACACCTGACCATGATGACACGACACATTCAGCTATTACATAATGATCGCGTCGTGTCGAAATCTTTTCATTTTAATGACAAGTTGCTCAGTAGAAATCTGACGCAATATATCATTGAGTCGACGAACGAGGCGTTTACCGCGAAATAAAACATACGTCTTACATAAGCTAAATTGGGAATGTCATATCTTTCCAGGAATTCGCCAGAAAAACCGCAGACGGAATGTCCCGCTCCTTTAGGGTAATGTGACCTTGTAAATCACATGATTAAAGATACTCCAAGATGGCGGGTGGATCGCATGCCATTAGCCAGCTACCCCGGTATCTACAGCACGAATCTAATCTTCGGGCACCGTGACCCCCACTCCTTGTGTATTTAGAACATTCTAGTCGTATCGTCTTACCACCAGCGGTGTTGCCGTTCAATGGGCCCACACATATCCCACTTACAGCACACGTCACTGACGCAAGACAACCTGCTGTGCTGACACGCTTGACTGATTTCCCAGATCCCACAGCCAGCCCTCGGACTGAAGCACTCAGGGTACTCTGACCAGTCGAGCGTGACCCGGACACCCACGTCACCTCACCGAAAGTGACCTCCAAACACAGCGCCACCTACACCTATCAGCATCCATACCTTAAGGGTACGATATCGGTAGCGGAGGATTTCAAATCCCCCCCCCCCGGCATGTTCAATACGTATGTGTCAAGGACACAAGAAGCTATATATAGACCAAGGATTGCTCCATCGCAGGAGATACAGGCGAATCTAAACAATAATAGCAGGGTAGCTCAGAACAAGTACTGCAATCGACTTAATGTCACTCGGCTCTTGAAAAAGTCATGTGACTTGTATGGTTAACTCAGGTGGAAAGTTTTGACTTCAGTGCAGAAGTACTTAGCGCAAAATTATAGGCTGAGAGTATGAACGGTAATGATTGGCCACTTGTGTCAGCTAATAAAATTACATCAGCTATAAATAAACTTTGGAAATACTGGAACCGAAACTTGACAGTTGACACGAAAGGAAAACTGGGTTAAAGTTCAAGCCAAAGTTTGGTGAAGAGCAATTAGTTTTTAATATGGTGATGAAAAGGCCGTGATACATCCAGCACGGAAAAAGTCTGTCAAATAAGTCGTACAGCAGGGAATCGTTTTCGTTCACTGCCCTACAGCAGTCTACCAATTCCTTCCCTTTACTTCCCCATACACCTAATCTAAACTCTGACCAATATGACCCTCCCTGGCTTTAAGCAACTGATCCTTAACTTCCAGCATGAACGTCAGTCACGTGGTTCTTGCTCATTGTAAAACATAATCCACGATAATCCTGGAAAAGCTAAGTCTTTTACTGGAAATATTTGTCTATTGCAGCCACCTCTACACCCACCCACTCTTGTCAGACATCCACAACATCACGCCAAATATACGACCTTATCACGCCCACTACACCCACCACATCACACCAACTGCACCACCACATCACCCAAGCCACCAGATGTCCACACAACGATGCACGTCTAGTCTCTAACAGCAGACGACACATGAACAATAAATAACGGCAGACGACAAGAGAATCAGACAAGATGACGTCACAGTTGGAGAAACTGATTTATCAACTGACGCCTGCGACAGTGGAGGTCATATCTCGTATTAAGTAGGACAGTGTAGGACCTGTCTTAATACCTCACGGCGTCAGGCCTGACTGCACTAAGCCTCCTATAGCAAATGACCTCAGTCAGTCAGGTAACTCTAATACGTACGTGATGGATAGTGCGACATGCGCAGGTGAGAAATGGCCTACAGGTATTATCCCCATATAGACTCGACCTTCACCTCGAATGTGGCGTTACGTGAAGTAGGTTAGAAAATCAGGGGGAAATCTAGATCTAGCTACCATGATTGGGGACGGAGTGTATAACTGTAGCTCTAGCTACCTTGATTGGTATAGGTGTACAAAACGGTGTTGGGTAGCTGCTTTTAGCGTTAGAGCCTAGCTATGCCGAAGGCCGGTCTTGAAACGATACGTAAGGAACTGAGGTGCAACTGACAGTGTGTAGTGCCATGCTATTTTTTTAGAGTAACGTAGGATTAGACAAACCTAACAGTCAAGTCAAGAAACAGAACGACCCACACACGAGAAAACAATGACCCATACACGAGAAAACAAATACCCACACACGAGAAAACAACGACCAACACACGCGAAAACAACACACGATAAAACATCAACCCACACACCAGAAAACACACAAATGAGACCAAAACTAAACACTTACTTGACTGAGTATCCCTTCCATTTGACCAGGTACTCCACCTTACCCTAGTGAAACAAAAGACAAGCAGGTTAGTGTGCGAGAACACCTACAACCAAACTTCGAGTTCACTACCAGTTGCCTGACTTTACAGTTAAATCTGTTCCACTGGCACTTAACATGCACGCCCTAAGCACCGCGACACTCAACAGTGTATGACGATTACCAAAATAACAAATACAGTTGCCAAAGTTGCATGAGGCTCTACAGAGCGCGTGTCACTCCAGAGTTACGGCCGCTTATCTGGAGTGATCTCAAGCACCGCCCACTTCAAGGGTCACTACTCACTCAAGGGTCACCGGTCATCAGAGTTGGACTATCCTGGAGTGCCAACTCTGAAGTCTATACAGGCAGAATGTAGCACAAGAATGTTAAACTTGTGTATCAACAAACTGCTGGGGTCATTGCAGGGTTAATCAATGCCCGGCCGTTAGGTGGGTCAAGGACACTACGGTTAGTGTAGCAGTTGACGTGAGGCATCTAGCTAGTTGTAACGCCTCATCGTGAGGTATGCCTATACTATAGTAGTGACATGAAGTTGTGATGGAGTGACACACGGATGTGACGAAGTAGTGACGTAGATCAGCTGCATGTGTCGTAAGTGTAGCATGGGCTATTACGTAACATTAGGCCACGACATGCTGGTACAAATTACCATATGTCGACATATGTTATATGTGCACAATAGGCATACATTAGTGTGATCGTGGGCTATAATCCTACACCAGGTGTAAACATGAGCTACCACCTTACACCAGGTGTAAACAAGGGCTACCATCCTACACCAGGTGTAAACAAGGGCTACCATCTTACACAGGTGTAAACAATGGCTACCATCTTACACCAGGTGTAAACATGAGCTACCACCTTACACAGGTGTAAACAAGGGCTACCATCGTACACCAGGTGTAAACAAGGGCTACCATCTTACACCAGGTGTAAACAAGAGCTACCATCTTACACCAGGTGTAAACAAGAGCTACCATCTTACACCAGGTGTAAACACGGGATACCATCTTACACAGGTGTAAACATGGGCTACCATCTAACTACATAACACTATTCAATATTCATTAGTGGTGTAGTACTAAGATCTAGATTAAATCTAGATCTAGAACCTATAGACTAGAACTAGATTAGATCTATCTAGATCTAGAATCTAGATCTAGACCCTAGTAACATAGTTTTAAATCCAGGTGAAGTGGAGTTAGATCTATATATTTTTTAGACTAGATCTAGATCTAGAATTCGTCAGTTACAATGCTAACAGTAACAGTTAGGCTAACGCTAACGCTTAACACGCTGCAGTGATTTGTGCTTGAAATGTAGATCTAGTTATCTAGATCTAGAAGCAGATCACATAGACCTAGAACTTATGATTGATCAATTTCTTCTACAGTCATCGAATCTGTGATAAATCTTAAACTCCTTAACTACACAACAGATTTCTAACGTACGTAACGAAATGTAAACATTTGGCAGTGTTCCAAAGTCCGCTTCTAGAAACTACCAGAAAGTCAGATTTTTTTAACAAATAAAAAAAACGTAAAATACAAACATAAAATAACTCACCCTTCGATGCCTTTTCTTCTGAATATAATCCGCCTGAAATACACGCTCACCAAAAGCAGGTAATTCCATTTTCATAGAATCCATAGTCATTCTGGCAGTGTCGCGCTCCTACTGTTGTCACGGCGAGGTTACACACCGGTTTGTTGTGATGCTCCGGTTTTCTATGGTAAAGCGACTCCCAGCGCCGACCAATCAAATCGCACGGAGCGGCGGCTTTTCAAACTCTTTCCACCAATCGCGCGCCCGACTCGACAGCTGGTACGGGGTGACCTGACCTCCGAACCCTTGACGTCACGGCTCGCGAGGCTGCGAGATCCCGATAGAAGCGGCTATACTGGTTTTGGAAGCTTTTTTTTTTAACTCTCTCTCTTTCGCCGCGCGACGGTGGGTTATGAATGACTCAACGATATCGAACACCTAAATCTACCCGGGTTTTACTTTCGGTTCCTCTATGCAGCAGCGTATATCATCATCAAGGCAAGGAAGTATTTAAATGGTATTTGTTTCATTTTGAGTATGTCGTTAAGTTGCTATAAAATAGCAAAAGTTATCAATTTCGCTTGTAAAAGGCTTACAGATCTTAGAATGAATATTGCAACTAGAAATAAAATGTAATAGGCATCTCTGTTTGGACGAAAAAGAAACTAATTTGTAATTGGCCAGTGCCTCCCCCCCCCCCTGCCAAAAGAAATGTTAAGTGACCCCCCCCCCCCCCTTCTTCCATGGAGATAGTTAGCCTGAAAGAATCCATTGTCAGTCACAATGGGAAATAATGTGACTTCCTGATTAATGAAGCCTGTAGCATAAGATTACATAGATAAATATACGTGGCTTCCGGGTTAATGAAGCCTGTAGCCTTGTAGCAAAGATTACAAAGATACAGATAGGAGACAGAGCTCATTCATGTGAACAGTGTCACAGTCTCATGTCACAAAACTAAACATGTATGACAGGCCCTGTCAAGGATTGAGTGGTCAGCACTATGCTAGCAGGTTGTATAAAGATATCGATGACTTTCGGTCATTTCGGTTTAATTCCCTAACAGAATAAGCTGGCAGAAAAACCTGATGGAATGACGCGGTGAAGCGGCAGAGCGCACGAATACTCACTCAAAAGTCTCGAGTTTCCCAAACGTGCCTGAGTGAATTCAGCTCTTCAGCGGCAACATGATCCTTTCTTCATGTGCTAATAAAGTCCGAGACACAGAAAAACTCTACTTCATCTACCGCGTAAGGGTAAGATAAAATGGTATGATATTGTTGGGATTATATAGGTAACACGTGCGGTCAAATGCGGTTAAATCTACTTATAAGTAAAATATGCTTTATGTATACCTTTTGTCTTTTAGAATTCAACCTGTTTTATATATGGTGTAAGCCCACAAATTAACAAAAAGTGTAGGCATTGAAACCCACAATATAAACAAGTATACGAGAAAGTGTAGCGATGATATTCCACACGAAGCTTACGGCAAGTATAGCAATCAAAACCAACAATGTAGGCAAACATACGACAAAGTCTAGCGATGATATCCCACAATGTAAGCAAACATACGACAAAGTCTAGCGATGATATCCCACAATGTAAGCAACCATACGACAAATTGTAGCGATGATATCCCACAATGTAAGCAACCATACGACAAATTGTAGCGATGATATCCCACAATGTAAGCAAACATACGACAAAGTCTAGCGATGATATCCCACAATGTAAGCAACCATACGACAAATTGTAGCGATGATATCCCACAATGTAAGCAAACATACGACAAAGTGTAGTGATGATATCCCACAATGTAAGCAAACATACGACAAAGTGTAGCAATAGAATCGATCCCCTACACACTGGTACACAAGATTTTGACTTACTTCTACGTGAGTACGTGAGTGGGGTGGGAAGGAGAGTGGGGGGATGTGGAATAATTTGCAACCATGTTTTTAAGATGTTTTACACCATGTTCTGTATAAATCAAGAGCAGATCTAATTATCTGAAAGTTCAAGATCGTCTGCTTTTAACTCTAAAGTCGGGCGGGGGAGGTTACGGTTGATTTTCCTTAACCTAATTTCCCCACAGGACGACAACAAAATCTGCGCAGGATTTTGGGGAACTGTCGCAACGGGAACTACTTCCTGTCCCATGGCTTGTATTCATCCGCCAGGCTCCACCGGAATTTTTTCCAATCAAACGACGAAGCACAACCGAAACAAGGGTGAGATAGAACGTCGTAGTTAGGTCAAAGGAAGTGATGTGACCCGGGATGACCTATCAATCAGCAGACGGCAGGGGCAGTTTGCAGACGTACATGTGTCTGGTGATGTAGGTTAAATGTCTTGTTTCTCTTGTTAGGTGTATGGGGTTAATTATTGTATTCCCTCTGCCCCTCCTGTCAATTAAAGAATGTGTTTTAGCTGGGTGCAATTTTTTACTTAAGTTGTGTGTAGACGAGTGAGTGTTATATAGTAAAGTACATCAATAGTGTGGGCTTATGGTTATTTACTGGCCTATTGTGTGGGCTTATGGCTCTTTACCTGATATATAGTGTGGGCTTATGGCTATTTACTGGCCAATTGTGTGGGCTTGGGGCTGTTTACTCATCAATTGTGTAGGCTTATCTCTATTTACTCACCAATTGTGTGGGCTTATGGTTATTTACTGGCCTATTGTGTGGGCTTATGGCTCTTTACCTGATATATAGTGTGGGCTTATGGTTATTTACTGGCCAATTGTGTGGGTTTGGGGCTATTACTGCGACAGAGGATAAGATGGGACAAAGGCTATGTAGAGACTGAAGATAGGAGGAGGGCTAATTTAAAGGTTTGTCTATTTAGAAACTGGCTGTTTAGAAACTTTGGCTATTTAGACGCTTTGGCTATTTAGACGCTTTGGCTATTTAGAAACTTTGGCTAAGTAGAAATTTTGGCTATGTAGAGACAAGCTATAAAGAGACAGGCTAGCACGTATAGCGATAATAAAGCTAGGTTTTGACAGGTTATGTAGAAATGGGGCTATATAGAGACTTAGGCTACGTAGATGCTTGTAATGTAGAATCCTGATCTCTGTATAGTCGGGCCTTGAACTGCGACAAGCTATGAACGTAATTAGTTAATCCTGACATTATACTTACACTTACAGACACCAAATTATGATCAGGTTTCGATCGTTAGTCTTACAATGGTACCGTTATACAGGATTTAATCTCCAAGCTTATTTCTACATGTGACCGCAAACTAGTTTTACTTGACCCTACAAGTCTGGTGATGACGGGAATACAAAATATTTTGTCTTAATCTTATCCCCCCCCCCCCCCCAATACACATGTCTGTTATAGTTCTGTCGGTGGGGTTTACATCAAATGCTGACCCGTGCTCAGACCTATCTCAGCTTTACATTTTTCTTGCTTTAAATTCCTCGTTATAGACAGCCGAGCAATCTAAAACAGAACATTTTTAATTTTTTTTTCCTGCTTGTTTGCACCTAAAACTTGACGAGCCGTCACGCCAAAGGTTCTTAGAATGGTAAACAGTTTGTTGGCTTGAAGCAATAAATCATTGTTTTAACTGACTGCGGGAGGGGCAGGGGTGAGGTAAAGGTATACCTACATATCTTCAGACTGGGTAAATAATATCAAGGTCACAGCCAAGGTCAGAGCAACGAACACCCAGGAGCAGACGATACAGACGCTCACCCTGCCAAGACCGAAGTTCAGACGTCAGCCGAGTCGATCAGACTCGCACGTGGGCGTGTGCCGCTCACGCGCGCTCAAACAGGGGGAGGGGGGGGGGGACAGGTGTAAAATAAACAGTTGAAGAGACAGCGTGTGGGCAGACATGCCCCCCCCCCCTATCACACACTCACCCCTGTTTTCAGAAGATAGGAATCACTCTTTAGTTTCAAGAAATATTACATTGACACGGGTGAAAAAAAATTTAAATCAAACTTATTTTAAAGAAAATTCATCTCATTGTTTCTCACTTAAATCGTCAGCTAGTCGTTAATCAGTCGTCAGATAGGCACAGATAGTCGTCAGATAGGCGTAGATAGTCGTCAGATAGGCGCAGATAGTCGTCAGATAGTCGTTAGGCGCAGATAGTCTTTAATGGAGGCGAGCGAGTTGACGAGATTCCTTCCATAATGTTGTTGTCATGGAATAAAAACGTCCTTTTTAGATTTAGACCGTAAAAAAAAAATAAAAAATAAAAACTTAAGCCTAAAATTAATTTAGAAATTTTATATTTTTAGAATAAATGCTATAAAAGTTGCAAATCCAGAGAACTTGAAAATAATTTGTTGAGTTTAAGGCTACATTTCTATTTATTTTCATCAATCCTAAGTTATAACCGGATGTTTCACTTTCGTAAGACAAATATTGATTGGCTGTACAGTAACTTAGTGATCGATAACTATTTGTTTACAAAACTTTGCAGATCAAGTTTTTAAATAACAATGCAGATTTAAAACCCCATGACCTAGTTTTCTATTTTTAGCTTACAATGTGTACAATAAAATCAATGGCGGCCTATCGAATAACAGGATGCCATTGTTTATGGCGCCATTACACGTGAAAACCAAATTGTTTTTGCTTTTTTTTAAATTTTTATTTAGTTACCGAAAATATTATAAACATCAAATACATCCAATCTTTAGTAAAGTCCGAAAAAAACCAGACATACAGGATTTTATAACCATATTAATTGTAACTACGCTGTGCAAGATTTTTAAATTAATTTATACACCTCTCAAATAACTTTGAGACTTTTCTCGCTGGTGTCCATTGGTCGTATGATATTCGCTGAAACCGTGTATTAGCCATAAGAGTTCGACATTTGACATTTTTTAAAAATCTAACGGTTTCGCGTGGCCATCGTCATACTGTTTCAATTATAAATGTGTTGATGTGATTGACGATGCTAGTACACATGTGAAAGGTTAGGTCAGTGTGTTAATTAGTGTGTAGCAATGGCTGACGATTTAACTCACACACATGTGAAAGGTTAGGTCAGTGTGTTAATTAGTGTGTAGCAATGGCTGACGATTTAACTCACACATCTGCGAAAGGTTAGGTCATTGTGTTAATTTGCGAGTAGCAATGGCTGACGATTTAACTGAAACATCTGCGAAAGGTTCGGTCAGTGTGTTAATTAGTGAGTAGCAATGGCTGACGATTT